AATAATATATTCAATCTTAATCAGGTGTGAAAAACCTGGATATTATCACATAAAACTTGATTCAATTATTCACATAAAACTACCCTGGACATAAAAAACTAAAAAGATGTGTGTTCCATCAATATTCTGTCATTCTTCATGTCTTTCCAAGACATTTTTAACTCTTAGAATTCTTCAGTAGCTTGACCTTTGGAAAAAGGAACTAGCAATAAAACAACAATAGAATACATAAACTGCTCAAGAGATATTATTTTGAAGTAGAAAGTTACTAAAAATCATGCTTTTGAGAAAACGTTTTGTGTAAAGAAATCTTCCCAATAAGTGTACTAATTGAAAAAATAGGATGTTCTTTATTTTTCAGGGTAAATAGTCACACCTATGTATTTTTTATATGTGTAGATAAGTGACTGACATTAAAAGTGGATATTTTTGGTTGGTGAGAAGGTAGGCAAATTTTCTAAAATTTACTTTATTTTTCAAATTTTCCAAATATTCCAAAAGAGGATTTTTTGGCATTATCAGGACAAAATACCTATATAATATTGCAATATTAATGAGAAACAAATCTATAAAAGTTTTAGGCAAAAGACAGAATAGGCTTGATTATCCATAAAGGAGAATCCAGTGGGCCCCTAGCTTACTATGTGAATCTAAGCAAGCCACTTAATGCTTACAACCTCCATTTCTTTATTTTTAAAAGGAAGTGCTGCAGTCAATGAGTGTTACAGTGCCATGTAGCTATAAAAACCCTGGGATTCTAAGCAAAAAGCAAATAGCTTTCAAGAGCCTTGGAAATCTATTTCCTCCGTTACAATAGACAGGACATAAACATGGGCCAAGAAAATAAGAAAAGTAAAATAGCAACTGCAAGAAGCTCAACACTCCCCTCAAGACCAAATACTATCCTGTTGAAACACCTTCGCCCACATTCCTTCCATTGGCAGAGTGGCCCAGGGTCCCTTGAGCTGATTCCCTTGAAAGCTAATTAATTGTGTGCTGCATGGGGCATCCTCACGATGCTAAGGAGTCATTTGAAAAGGGAACATAAAAGTGATACTAAACAATAATATGCGATTTATAGTCTGGATGTGGCACGTGCTGTATTGGCTTACTTTTATTTCACAGTTAATCTCCCAGCTCACAAAAGTTTTATCGGATTGGAGCATGTGCAGTATTCCCTTTATAAAATTTTATAGTCCCTTGCTATTTTCAGGGGTTTGTTTTATAGGCACAATTTGCTGCTTTAATCTCACCCAATTGTCATGTTCTAAATCATGGTGAATAAAAATGTCCTAAAAGAAGAGATGTGCTGAAGGTAGTACTTAATTACTCTTAGCTCCTGATTTAAATGTGACCTGGCCATTGCCAAATGCAGGACGCAGAGTAACCAGCCACACAAGTCTGCATAAACTGATGCAAGTCATTACTGGGCTTTTAATAGCAGAGCCCACTTGCACTCTGGTGGTACTGTGCAGGCACTCTGATGAAAGTGGGTCCTCCTGTCTTCCATCAGTATCTGTGAAAATTAAGGCAGCTAATGAATGAGTGCCAATCGCTAGTGTTCTCAAAGTGGGCAAGCACAGGTTTTGTCTTTAAGCCTATCATTGAACATGGCAATTTCTGGGATGTCTCTTAGAGGAGGTTCCCTAATTCTCATTCAGCCAAATGCAACATGATAAATATTAGCATGGAAAGGGTCATTCATTTCTAGAAGTCAATTATGCTTTATTAAAGTTAAGGAATGCCTAAGCACAAAATATTCATAACCTGTTTATTATGTTCTCTCTTTAGGTGTGTGGAGGAGGAAGATCACAGGAAGAGAAGCGATGGTGGTCCCTGACAGCCACAGTTTTTTGTTGCCATCATACTTTCCCTGGAGCTGATTCCTGACAACATGCTCCTCTTTCCCTTTAGTAGAATGCTCCTCCTTTGTTCATCCTGATCCCTGTCCCAAACTTTCTATCTAGCCAAGCTTAAATACCCCAACTAATCTCTACACCACCATTGCTGTTTCACGAATGGATCTGTGACCCAAAGTAAGCCAATTTCAAGTCTGCCCCGGACATTTCTAAAGAAAAGAAGGCCACTAGCTGCTTAGGTGGCTAAGCTGGGCATATGTGAACCTGGGACTGTTTCTCCCTGGGACTGGTGCCAAACAGGGAGACAGGTATTCTAAGCATGTAAAAGCATCTGTGTCTAGCGATGGCTAACATATCACTTGAGTTCCATGAGGCAATAAATCCTCATTTTGTCTTAAACTTGTGGGAATTTGGTTTCTGTCACTCGCAACAGAATGAGCTCTGGCTAAAAAGAGATATTATTGCAAATTGAGCATGGCATTTTGTTCCAAAAAGCAACACTATTCACACTCTTTTTTCTTTATTGAACATTTCCTAAGCAGCACAGTTAGAGAGAAAATATGATCACATATTCCAAACAGATGTTGTCATGAATGACAAATATTGCTTTCACATACCCCAACATAACATTAGCAAAATCCCTAGGGCCAGTCCACCACATAAATAGGAAAAGTATATGGTAAACAGTAAATGACTGGAAAGTAGCAACAGTCATAGTAATATCTGGACCACAGAGGTTATTTATACTGAAAAAGTCTTCATTTATAGCTCTATCGACCTTCTGATAGAACTTATCTTTCTATTTATACATAAATATACTAAAGTGCTAGCAGGGTACTTTTAAAGAGACTGGTGACAAAGTTGGCCTGAGTTATTCTCACATATGTGTTTGTACGTTTGCCACATAAGTGTGTGTGCATATGTAATAAAGTATATTGGTTTGTATTTTTAAAATTTACCTTCACAGTGTATTCTTTTGAGACTTCACTTTTTTCTTGAATTTGTGTTTTTAGAACTTTGTCCATAGAAAGGGATGGGGAAGGGGAGGATAAGGAGAGCATGGCCAGGGGGTACAAGTTTACAATAACAAAGAAAGAAGTTCGGGTGTCCTATTGCACAGCATGGTGTCTATAGTCAACAATAAGATATTGCAAATCTTAAAACAGCTAGAAGAGAGACTTTTGTATGTTTCTACCGCAAAGAAATACTAAATTTTTGAGGTGATGGATAGGCTAGTTACCCTTATTTAATCATTTAGCAACATATACATGTATTGAAACATCACATTGTACCCTATATGTATATACAATTATGTGTCTGTTAAAAATATAAAAATAAAATTAAAAAGTAAAATTTGTCGATGGAGAGATACAGATTGATGGATCTCATTCATTTCAAGATTTCTTTAGTATTTCATTGTGTGGATAAATCATGATTTATTTATGAATTTCCTTATTATGGTCTGTTAGATATTTTCTATGCATCATTCATTCATTACCACAAAGAGTTTTGCTGTGAACACCGTGCTATTATACATATCTCTTATGTAAAGTGTGTGAGAATTTCTCTTGGGTACGTGCTCAGAGATAGATATAGGAGTCATGGGATATATGGAACTCCAAATTCACTATGAATTCATAATAAATTGGTTTCCAAAATGGATGAGTCCATTTACATTCCCATCAGCAAATTTAAAACCTTAAATATTAATGAGAAAAAATAGAATTTTAATAAATTTTAAAAATTAAGTCATTAAAAAAAATCTCACAATGGCGAAAGAATGAGGAATACTTATCTAGCTTAAAACTAATATGTATAATCTGACCAATTTCATCCTTTTGTCCTTATTAATAGCTGATATTAAAACACTTTTAATATATATTCATTGTGTGGGTACTGCAAACAAGGATTCGGGGAAAAGGATGCAAAAACATGAAAAAAAAAGGGAGCCCTTACAGCCAATTGTACAGCCAGAACCAACATAGCCCCAGGGAAACACCACCACATCATGTCCCTCGCTAACCCTACCACAATCATCCTCTAAATGGTCTATTCCAGGTGCAACCCAAGTGATCTTGCTAAAATCTATGTTGACTGTAACTCTCCCCTGCTTAAAATATCTCAGGGACGCCTCAGTCAAATCCAAACCCACATGGCAATAGTGACACCCCTGGCCCACTGTGCTAACCTTCCTAGCTTCACGGCTTCCTGCTCACCCTGAAATCCTCTATGCTTCAATATCACTCAGTAGTTCTTAATTTTGCTCCCCTGTGTTTTTAACCCCAGGTCTTCAGATATGCCTTGTCTATTTCCAACCCACCACTTGCTTGGACTAACTCCTATTGCATCTTGCGGGTAAGAGGTTAGATGTGAGTCCCTCTTGGAAACACCGTAACCCTTGAGGCCTGGAGGGGTGCCAGGCTCCCAGAGCACCCCGGGCTTCTGCCAGCCCAGATCACAGTCCCTGCATGGCACATGGCCTCTTCTTTATTTGTTTCTTCTTACTGTACTAGGAGGCCCTTTCCGAGCAGAGACCAATGCCTGTTTACTGACTACAGCGGCTTGTATTCACCATCAGCAAATATCCTAAAGATGTAAGCTGTGTAGTGGCATGGCCTGGAGCCATACTGTGAACATCATGAGGAGGGAAGACCAAGAAATAATGCTAGACCCATTCCTTGTCTCCTTGTTCAACCTTTCTTGTTTCCTCTGGCATACATGCAGCTGTAGATTGTCCCTGAAGCGTTGTTACTACCACACCTTGTGTTCAAAATACATACTCATTTCCACACAGGGGAGAGAATGCTTTAGGCATGCTTCTACTTTCCTGGAATTTGAGGTCTAGAGAGGGAAGTGTTTGCTGGTGCTGCAATGTTATTTTCAGAATGAACTAATTCTAAACTGAACAAGTGTTATTATTATTAATCTAGGAAAATTAATCTCTCTTATCCTAGGTTATTTAGTTTCATTGTGTTCCATTAATTCTCACTATGACAAATGCAGAATACTTTCAGTGACTATGCATTCAGAGTTTATAAAAAAAAAAAAGAAAAAAAATTCCTTTTTAGATCCTCACTCTTAAGGATACGGGAATTTCGTACTAGGCCAAATCAGTCATTGGCAGCTAGATTATCTGTCATCAAGAGAAGCCCTGTAGTTCACAGAAGCCTGAAATTTTAGTGTGATTCTTGTTCCACTTAATCATGAGACATCCATGAATTCAAGTAAACCACCATTTATATTTTAGGTGTGTATCACTTCCAACTTTAAAAAATCCTTTAAATTCTGTTGACATGTATTTCATTCCTCCTTCTTTACAAAACACTGCCAAGCTTTAGTAGCACGTGGAGTAGAACACTAAATTTTCCACCAAGGGCACTCACAATTATGGAGTTATTTTCTATACATATGGCATATACATGCATAATTTACATTTACTGTGTCATTTAATCTTCAAGTTGCCTCAGAAAAATACTCATTTCCCAATTTTCAGATGGCAGAAGTAAAGCTCGGACAGGTAATAAGCTCTCCCTCTCCCTCCACCGAGCCGTTCTAGCTCCAGATGAATCCGCTGATTTTAGACAATTCTTTTTGAGTGGAGCTGAAACCTATCTTTTTGTGCACCATTTTTTTCCAAAAGGTGAGGCTTAAGGTTTTAGTTGTATCTCTTAGAACAGCGGTCTCCAACCTTTTCAGCGCCAGGGACTGGTTTCATGGAAGACAATTTTTCCACCGAACAGGGTGATGAGAGGGGTGGTTTTGGGATGAAACGGTTCCACCTCAGATCATCAGGCATTAGACTCTCATAAGGAGCATACAACCTAGATCCCTCACACGCACAGTTCACAGAGGGTTTGTGCTCCTATGAGAATCTAATACCACTGCTGACCTGACAGGAGGTGGAGCTGAGATAGTAATGCTCATTTGCCCACTGCTCACCTCCTGCTGTGTATCCCAATTCATAACAGGCCACTCCACAGTCTGGGTTTTACAGATCCCTGCCTTAGAACATGCAGGGAAAAAAACTCCTTTTCAGTATAAGAGCTCTCACCATATAAAAGGTCTGCTCTCACCCCACTGAGACAGTTACTGCAATAACTGCTAATAAGGAACTAGTCTATATTTCTTTAACTTACCTTCCTTCTAAATGAGTTTTAGGAGTGGTTTAGAAGTGTTTTTTTCAAACTTTTTGTAGCAGCCAAATTCTTTTTAAAACGGAATCTTTCAGGAAAGCCAAATGTATATTAAGAAAAATAAAAATGAGACCGAGTACAATGGCTCACACCTGTAATCCTAGCACTTTGGGATGCCAAGGTGAGTGGGTCAGCTGAGGCCAGGGGTTCGAGACCAGCCTGGCCAACATGGCAAAACCCTGTCTCTACTAAAATTACAAAAATTAGCCAGGCATGGTGGTGGGTGCCTATAATCCCAGCTACTCAGGAGGCTGAGGCAGGACAATCACTTGAACCCAGGAGGCAGAGGTTGCAGTGAGTTGTTTTTGTGCCACTGCAATCCAGCCTGGGAAACAGGGCAGGACTCTGTCTCAGAAAAAAAAAAGAAGAAAAGAAAAAGAAAAATGAAAAAGTGTGGCACTCACTGAAATGAATGTGGAAAACCTGTAGTTACTCCATCCACTCTGCTATTCCCTCCATAAGACCCATATTTCAAAACAAACCATAAGGAATCTCTGCACTTCATGGGATGCAAGGATGGCCATTAACTATATTCTCTCTTAGCCTTTCTTTTCCTAGGGTGATGTCCTGGACTGATCTTAATGATCAAGTAGTCTGAAGAATACAAAGACTTAGAAAAATTGAAAAGAGGTCAGACACCAAGTGGCTCATGCCTATAACCCTAGCACTTTGGGAGGCCAAGGTAGGCTAATCACTTAAGCCTGGGAGTTTAGGGTCAGCCTGGGCAACATAACAAAACTCCATCTCTACAAAAAATATTAAAAAAAAAAAAAAGAAGAAGAAAAAATTAGTCAGGCATGGTAGTACATACCTACAGTCCCAGCTACTCAGGAAGCTGACATGGGGGAGGATCACTGGTACCCAGGAGGTCAAGGGTGCATTGGGCCATGGTCATGCCACTGCACTCCAGCCAGAGTGACAGAGTAAGACCTTGCCTCAAGAAAGAGTAATTGATAATGCCTATTAAGTTATAATACAGATTGTAAAATATCAAGACCAGGAATCATACCAAAGATTCCATTCCTCCCATGTCCTTCAATGTAAGGTTTTGCAAGGTATGATGGGAATCCCTGTGCCCTTCCATGCAAGGGTTTGTGAGGTGTGATGGGAATCCCCAAAGCACCCAAAGTCAGGAGATCCATATGGGTCCATGTCTTATTTACAAAAAAATATTTAACAAAACCAAAGCAAGGAGATATTTCTCTTCTGATAATTTCCTACCATTTAAGAAACTGACTGGGACTTCTGCCAAAATGGCCAAATAGGAACAGCTCCAGAGTTCAGTTCCCAGCAAGAGAGGCAGAAGGTGAGTGATCTCTGCTTTTGCAACTGAGATACCAGGTTCATCTCAAAGGGAGTGGTTGGACAGTGGGTGTAGCCCGAGGAGGGCAAACTGGGGCATGGTGTGGTGCTACTTCACCCAGGAAGTGCAACGGGCCAGAGGGCCCTTCCTCCTACCCAATGGAGGCCATAGCTCCATTCAAATGCTGCACTTCTGCGGTCTTTGCAGCCCACAGACCAGGAGACTCCCACCTGCCAACAGGTGCCACAGGTTCCAGGGCAAATCTGGGCGGCTGATTCAGCCAGTGCCCTAGGTTCCCAGCAAAAATCTGAGCAGCCCTTTGGACTGGCACCTGGAGTGCCTGCGAGACAGAGTCACCCATACCCCTGAGAGAAAGGGGGCTAAAAGTGGGGAGCAAGGTGATCTGGCTCCACAGGTCCCACCCCCACAGAGGCCAGCAAACTGAATCCCACTGGCTTGGGATTTTTGTAGCCAGCACAGCAGTTTGAGCTCGACCCTGGACAGTTGAGCTCAGTGGTGGCAGGGTGTCCACCATTACTGAGGCAGCTCTAACCTTACCTGCATAAACAAAAGCACAAAGAAGTTTACACAGCAGCTGCAGGGGAGCCCATGGGAGCTCAACAATGGAGCCCAGAGTATGACTGGGCTCTCTCTTTGCTGGGCAGGGCACCTCTGAAAAAAGGCAGCAGCCTGTGAGGGACTTACAAATAAAGCCACACCTTCCCAGGACAGAGCATCAGAGAAAAGGAGCCATTGTGAGTTCTTCTGCAGCAGACTTAAATGTCCCTGCACAGCAGCTCTGAAGGAAGCAACAGAGCTCCCAGCAGAGCACTTGAGCTCTGATAAGGGACAGACTGCCTCTTCAAGTGGCTCCCTGACACCCGTTTATGCTAAGAGACATCTCATACAGGACTCGCGGGTACCCTTCTGGGATAAAGCTACAAGAAGAAGGAACTGGCAGCAATCTTTGCTTTTCTGCAGCCCCCATGGGTGATTCTTAGGCAAGCACAGTCTGAAGTGGACCTCCAGCAGTCCTGCAGCAGAGGGGTCTGAAGGTTAGAAGGAAAACTAAATAACAGAAAGAAATAGCCTCAATATCAATAAAAAGAACATCCACTCAGAGACCCCATCCAAAAGTCACCAACTTCAAAGACCACAGGTAGATAAATCCACAAAAATGGGAAGACACCAGCGTAAAAAGGATGAAAACACCAAAGACCAGAACACCTTTCCTTCTCCAAGGGATCACAACTCCTCATCAGCAAGGGAACAAAATAGGATGGGGAATGAGTTTGATGAAGTGACAGGAGCAGGCTTCAGAAGGCTGGTAATAACAAACTTCTCTGATCTAAAGGAACATGTTCTAACCCAATGCAAAGAAACTAAGAACCTTGAAAAAAGGTTAGATGAAATGTTAACTAAAATAATCAGCAAAGAGAAGAACATAAATGACTTGATGGAGCTGAAAAACACAGCACGAGAACTTAACAAAGCATACACAAGTTTCAATAGCTGAATTAAGCAGAAGAAAGGATATCAGATATTGAAGATCAGCTCAATGAAATAAAATGAGAAGCCAAGATTAGAGAAAAAAGGGTGAAAAGAAATGAACAAAGTCTCCAAGAAATATGGGATTATGTGAAAAGGCCAAATATATGTTTGATAGGTGTACCTGAATGTGATGGGAAAAATGAATCCAAGCTGGAAAACACTCTTCAGGATATTATCCAGGAAAACTTCCCCAACCTAGCAAGGCAGGCCAACATTCAAATCCAGGAAATACAGAGAACACCACAAAGATGTTCCTCAAGAAGAGCAACCCCATCATCATCAGATTCACCAGGGTTGAAATGAAGGAAAAAACACTAAGGGCAGCCAGAGAGAAACATTGGGTTACCCACAATAGAGAAGCCCATCAGACTTACAGCGATCTCTGGGCAAGAACCCTACAAGCCAAAAGACAGTGGGGGCCAATATTCAACATCCTTAAAGAAAAGAACTTTCAACTCAGAATTTCATATCCAGCCAAACTAAGCTTCATAAGTGAAAGATAAATAAAATCCTTTATGGACAAGCAATTGCTGAGAGATTTCATTACCACCAGTTCTACATTACAAAAGCTCCTGAAGGAAGCAATAAACATAGAAAAGAATAACCAGTACCAGTCACTGCAAAAACGTACCAAATGGTAAATGCCAGTGACACAATGAATAAACTGCCTCAACTAATGGGCAAAACAACCAGCTAGTATCAAAATGGCAGGACCAAATCCACACATAACAATATTAACCTTAAATATAAATGAGCTAAATGCCGCAATCAAAAGACACAGACTGGCAAACTGGATAAAAAGTCAAGACCCATCAGTGTGCTGTATTCAGGAGACCCATCTCATGTGCAAAGACACACATAGACTCAAAATAAAGGGATGGAGGAAGATTTGCCAATCAAATGGAAAAGGAAAAAAAAAAAAAAAAAAAAGCAGGGGTTGCAATCCTAGTCTCTGATAAAACAGACTTTAAACCAACAAAGATCTAAAGAGACAAAGAAAGGTATTACATAATGGTAAAGAGATTAATGCAACAAGAAGAGATAACTATCTTAAATATATATACACCCAATACAGGAGCACCAAGATACATAAAGCAAGTTCCTAATGATCTACAAAGAGACTTAGGCTCCCACACAATAATAGTGGGAGACTTGGACACTTCACTGCAATATTAGATAGATAGATGAGAGAGAAAATTAACAGGGATATCCAGGACTTGAACTCAGATCTGGTCCAAGTGGACATAATAGACATCTACAGAACTCTCCACCCCAAATCCACAGAATATACATTCTTCTCAGCACATCACACTTACTCTAAAATCGACCACATAATTAGAAGTAAATCACTTCTTAGCAAATGCAAAAGAAAGGAAATCATAACAGTCTCTCAGACCACAGTGCAATCAAATTAGAACTCAGGATTAAGAAACTTATGCAAAACTGCGCAACTACATGGAAATTAAACAACCTGCTCCTGAATGACTACTGGATAAATAATGAAATGAAGGCAGAAATAAAGATGTTCTTTGAAAACAATGAGAATTAAGACACAATGTACCAGAATCTCTGGGACACATTTAAAGCTGTGTCTAGAGGGAAATTTACAGCACTAAATGCCCATATGAGAAGCTAGGAGAGATCTAAAATCGACACCCTATCATCAACATTAAAAGACCTAGAGAAGCAAGATCAAACAAATTCAAAAGTGAGCAGAAGACAAGAAATAACTAAGATCAGAACAGAACTGAAGAAGATGGAGACATAAAAACCCTTAAAAACGTCAATAAATCAAGGAATTGGTTTTTGAAAAGATCAACAAAATAGATAGACTAATAAAAAAGAAAAGAGAGGAGAATTGAAGAGATGAAATAAAAAATGATAAAGGGGATATCACTACCGATTCCACAAAAATACAAACTACCATCACAGATAACTACAAACAACTCTATGCACATAAACTAGTAAATCTGGAAGAAACTGATAAATTCCTAGTTACTTACACCCTCCCAAGACTAAACCAGGAAGAAGTTGAATCCTTGAATAGAATAAGGTCTGAAGTTGAGGCAGCAATTAATAGCCTATCAACCAAAAGAAGTCCAGGTCCAGACGGGTTCACAGCTGAATTCTACCAGACATACAAAGAGGAGCAGGTACCATTCCTTCTGAAACTATTCCAGACAATACAGAAAAAGGGAATCCTCTCTAACTCATTTTATGAGACCAATATCATTCTGATATCAAAATCTCACAGAGACACAATTAAAAAAGAAACTTTCAGGCCAATATCCATGACAAACATCGATGCCAAAATATTCAATAAAATGCTGGCAAACCAAATGCAACAGCACATCAAAAAGCTTATTCATCACGATCAAGTAGGCTTCATCCCTGGGATGCAAAGCTGGTTCAACATGCGCAAATCTATAAATGTAATCCATCACATGAACAGAATCAAAGACATAAACCACAAAATTATACCAACAGATGCAGAGAAGGCTTTCAACAAAATTCAACAGCCCTTTATATTAAAAACC